TGGTTATACTGTGGCGATACGTTGATCGGCCCCGGGTATATCATGTATCCCGACGGCCGCTCGACTATTTCAACGACATGCTAATTTGTAGCTTAGCTTCCAGACTCTCCTCTGTGTCTACTTTGTACCGGTTTATTGGTTCAACGCCGAGGAGAGACGCGCGAAACTTTTTCGCTTTGTCGTTGCGCGTCGCGACGTTTCTCTATTTCTTCGCCGTTTTGAATTGTTTCCGTCGAACGAGCGCGAGTATACAGTTCGCTTCAACGGCGGTGAGGCACTCGCGTGGCTCTCCTTCGGTACAGAATGGCGTTACGAATTGAAGAATATTTTCCAGAAGTGTGGCGGGCAATGTAACAGAATTATTAATAGAGGAACCCAGATAGCACAAGACACTCCCGTGTTGGCACATTCCATAGGTCATTCTTATATATTTGGCTTGTGTTCGTGGAACATTCGACCGACGCTACTGTAAAGGCCTGTGTCCACGATGGTCCAAGTTCTAGTTTCGAGAAATATGTAATCAATCAACTTGCAGCTTTTATGGAATAGCTGCAGGTTGATTGGCTACACATTTCTCGGAACTAGAACTTGGATCAAGTTCTAGCATCGTGGACATAGGCCTTTACCCGGGGTCCACAATGAGAGTCGCAGAGTCGCAGTCGTAAGAATAATGGACTGCGATTGGTCAATTCCGTCAGACACATAAGAATTGACCAATCGCAGTCGACTATTCTTTACGACTTCTATGTAGACGAGGCTTAAATCTTTTTCGAATGTGAACAGAATAATCTATCGAGTATAGCGTGTCGGTTATATATTTTGGTCAACATGACATCAAATTGACGCCACCTTGACTTTTAATTTCTCCCTAGGCTGTGCGCTATCTGGGAAAGTCCCATATTATACAATTATATTGGAAGTGAATTGGCCAACATTTAACAATGCAGTAACAATATTGGTCCAATGTTCCTCTATAAATATGCGTCTCAAGTTCTTCTTGTACAATCACTTTTATTTTAATGCCAATATCGTACGCTTTCGAGCTGGCGAAACGTTCGCAGGATATCGGGTGTCGAAGAGAACGAGGGGAGAACACAACGCAACGATACTTAATCGATCCTTTTGATAAGACTAAAGATTGGTACTTGATTATAATTGAAAACAATGAGATAGAGAAAGAGTCGGGGCCTAATATCTGTAGCCCTCTTCATGCCCAGGTCCTGCTGGTCCCGGAGCGGGATAAGTGGCGGTTCCCTCGTATCGCACCATCGGCCGATATCCGTTCTGATCGGCGATGTAATCGACGATCTGGGTCCTACCATCCGGCAGCAGCACGTGGTAGGTCCCGGTGGCCTCCATGTCCTTCCTCGTCTCGCGGTGCCCAAAGTCCAGACCCGCCGTCCCGTCCTGGACCTCGTACGAAAACTCGTAATTCGCCGGATCCTGATATAACGGATTGCAATAAAAAAAAACCGACACAGTCGTGAAAGAATCGTGTTATCGTCTCGTCGTCATTCCGAAAGCGCGGGGTATTTCGCGGCGGACTTTTGACAATCGTCACGAGTTTTCGTCTAAATTGTTAAGTTAATCGTTAATCGTCCAAGTCTGATGTCCATTTCTACCAGCGCGGATCAACTTTGATCTCGGTTCAACTTACTTTCTATCTTTCTCTAGTTTCGGGAATCGGACAAAGCGAAAGACTTGGTTAAACTGCCCTCAGATTAAACTGGCAACAAGATCGAAGTTAAACAACGTTGGCGAAAGGGGGGCTCCGTTTCCGCCTTTCAAAGATATATGCAATACATACTTACACCGGCCCAGTCGTCCGGGTGACCAGTCCCGCCGCCTCCACCTCGAGGGCTGGGCGGAAGATAGGCCGGGCCTTGCGGTTCGTTCCGGACTCCTACCAGGACCATCGCTAATAGTGCCGCCTGTTACGAAAGAGGAGCACGGAAACTTTTACGCGCGCTGATTAAAGGTGGGAGCCAGACGTATGTCGCTGTCGGGTGTCGGGACGTGAATTAAGAAATTTTCTCATTGGACCATCGGCTACGTCCCGACGTCCGACAGCGACACAGACGACGTATTGTATAAAGCCTCGTCTACATAGAAGTCGTAAAGTCGTAGTCGTAAGAATAGTCTACTATAATCGGTCAATTCTTATGTGTCTGACGAAATTGACCAATCGCAGTCGATTATTCTTACGACTTCGACTCTGCGACTTGCATTGTAGACCACGCATAACGCCGGGGTCTACAATGCGAGTCGCGGACTCGTCGTAGTCGTAAGAATAATCGACCGCGATGGGTCAGTTCCGTCAGGCACGTAAGAATTGACCGATCATAGTCGATTATTCTTACGCATCACGATAATCCTGCTCGGGCCCTGAAGTGTACGCAAACCTGGATCTGTACCAACCTGCCGAATCATGAGAAATTCGGTAGAAAGTTGCACGGGCGTTCGCGAAACTGAGACGGCACCGTCTCGGGCAGCCCCGGTTTTATAGCGGGACACAATTCGGCGCCGGCGGGAAGACGATTGGAGTACGCAATATTCGTTAATCGCGGAGCTTTAATGCGATCGCATAACCGTAATTACGGCTAATAATAAAACCGCAGTTCGGGATAATCGCGATGGTTCCTCATTCTGTGCAGCGTTACCGTCGAGACGCCGGAGCGTCTCTTTCCTCTTGTTTCAGGCTCTCGGAGCACAAGGCGACGTAATAGTTCACGACAAAGACGCAGGCGTAAACGCGTATAGCGCGCAAGCTTCCCTTACGTTAGGGTTCGTTTTCTGTTCCCGCACTGGTGAACCAGTGCAGTAAGCTAGAATGAGCAAAAATATACTCGGCCTTGCTCTAATCTATTGCGCTAGTTCGCCGGTGTAGCAACAGGAAACAAGCCTATTGTCGACTCTGATCCGCAGCAATTCTCAAGGAGTCCCGTATGCGCGTTTACGTCTCGCGAATTACCGTAGCTTGAAAAAAAATGAAGCACGAGACTAAGGCTGATGGCAGACAACTATCCGTAAGCGCTTACGACTGACGTAGTCGTAGACTTAAGGTAAGGCAGAGAAAAACGTAAGCCGTAAGGAACACGTGTTCCACAGCTTACGTTTTTCTCTGCCTTACCTTAAGTCTACGGCTACGTCAGTCTTAAGCGCTTAGGCCCGGTCTACAATGAGTTGTTAGTCGTTAGTCAGAAGTCGGAACTATATGTCGGTCCTTTTTCTTCCACCCAGAAAGGAAAAGGATCAACATATAGTTGCGACTTCTGACTAACGACTAACGACTCATTGTAGACCGGGCCTTACGGATAGTTGTCTGCCATCAGCCTTACTAAGCGGACGGCCTCGTAAATCTCTCTGTCGATGCCCATACAGCACGCGTGTCTAAAAGACATCTTTAAGACATCTTTAAATCGTCTTTTAGACACACATATCTGAGTAAATGTTGTTGCCACAGATGAAACGTTCCCGGTGGTTTGTTAATTCGACGTGAAAATCGCGTTTGGCAACGACCCGCGGAGGATTCGTTCGCGGGTACGGGAGAGGCTGTAATTTGTACGCAAGCCTTACTCAAGAGACGGGGATAACAATAAGTCAAATTAATAGTTCTCCTTTCGATTGCGCCACCGTCCCCTCCCGCAGGCGGACGTCACGTCGCAAGACTTAAACGATGTGTCGCAAGATAACGTAATCACGATTGAAATTGCAACAAACGACGCGACTCCGGAGCCACATTTCATCCCGTATAATTAATTCGCGCTTAAACGGCGAACGGTTCGCGTCGGCTAATCTTCTAGCGTCATAAACGCGCAATTGCTTGCCAAAAAAATTATACAAATTATTACGAGAGAGAGAGAGAGAGAGAGAGAGAGAGAGAGAGAGAGAGAGAGAGAGAGAGAGAGAGAGAGCGCTTTCCAGCTGTTGTAAAAATCTTGAATCATTCATCTTGAATCATTCATCAACTTAAAAAGGACGAGAGACTTTTGTCGCCGGGAAATTGAAAGGATCAAGAGACGGGAAGATGTCGTAAATGATAACACGGGGAATATTATATTTCAGAATTATAAGATACCTGTACAATGTAAAAAGATTTTCGCTCTCCAAGCTCCGTGGCTCTTTCTTCATTTCGCTCTCTCCCGCCTACGCCCGTTTTCACCAACGTCGTTCAACTTTGATCTCGCAAGCTTAATTCATCCTGACAAAGGGTGACTTAAACTGAGATCAAAGTCCAACGCTGACGAAAACCGGGGTTAAGGGTGTATTCCGTAAAAATATTCTTTAACGCCGCATCTCTTGTAAGTTATGCATTGTCGAGCGCGAGAGAAGGAGCGGAAGGAAGAAAGAGCTAAGGAGAGCTGCAGAGCTTAATAGAACGAAAGTTTAAAGAGATGCGTCCACAGGGAAGGGCAAGAGGGGGCACTTGGCACTTTACGTACGTCGTTTAAAAAATTGAATACCATTTTGAGTTCTTTCAACGCGGCTATTTCACAAAATCAACCGAAACGCGTAATATCGACGTTTCTTAAAAATTATTTCCGCTATTTTAATTTGTAACAATTCGTACAGTTTACTTATCCCGCCCGTCTTCATTACATCGCACTTACGGAAGAGCATAGACATAAATGTGGAGTGCAGTGTTAATCGATTAACATTTATTATTTGTCAAGAAAGTAACGCGCGCGATCAATGTTACTTCAACGTCAAATCTAGAGTGGACGTTTTAGGGACGTGTGAGAAATGTTAACGTTAACATTTTATCTTTTACCGTGTAAACCGTTAAAACTGAAAAAAAACAACAAGAAGTATGTAGTAGACGTGAGCGTAGCGTAGATGTGGCAACGGCATCTCAAGCGATAATCTTTCAATTCTATTTTATATTACGCACGCGAGTGTATTCCTTAGAGCCACATTGTATATGTCATTGTAACGATTGAGTGCTGGTGCCTGTCTGGAAAAACAAACTGTTGAGCATCGCCGTAGCGAAACAACTATACGTTCAAGGTTTTTTTTCCAAACTTTCGGTTTACACCGCGCGCGCGACCTACCGCAGAGGTGACTCACCGCTCGGTCGCCCGGCGCTCAGTTGAGTCTACGCCGCCGTCGCGCGCGGGCGGGTGTCCGCTCGCGTTCGTACGCTTCGCGAGTTTCGCCGGCGATTACCGGCGAATCGAGCGGAATTGGCGCACGAGAGGAAGTGTGCGCGGGACAGTGCGACAGTCGCGGACGAGTTTGGCGAGGGGCGAAACGTGTGCCACGCGTTCGGACAATTTTCGCCGGCGTGAATCGCGTCTCCGCTTTTCCCGCGGACGCCGGCGCCGTTGTCTCTCCAGAAAAGGCGCCGGCGGCGTATTCGTGCGCGTGTGCCTTCATTTTCGTGAGGATCTCGCGCAGGGACTTGACAGCTTGGCGCCAGAAGAGGAAATGTGCGCGGGACAGCGCGGACAATTGTGGACGAGCCTCGCCAGAAGTGAAGAACGCGCGAGCGGGCGATTCTCGCCCGCGTGAAATGTGCTTCCGCGCTTCTGCGCTTTCGCAACGCATCGACGGCGCGTTCGCGCGCGTGCCATCATTTTTCCGCGAGAATCCCGCGCAGTGAGGAAGGACTGGCGCGGCCACATTCAGAGTCCTCCGTTACTTTCCGCGACCGCCGCGTCGCGCCGTTGTCTTTTCCGAGCGCACCGACGGCGATGCCGCCCGGCGCCTTTTTCGCGAGGGTCTCGCGCGAGGACGGACAGCGTCGTGTACTCGATTGGCAAATCTATCGAGTTAAGTGCCGAGCGCGCGTGTGTGCGAAACGTCGACAATCGGAGTGCGAAGGAGAACGCGCCTGACGGTTGACGCGAAGGAGTCTTCGCGATTCCAGTCGAGGGTACGCGCAGCTACGTTCAGTCTTCTCGCCGGCTGCGTCGCGCCGCGTTGTCTTTTCCGAGCGCACCGACGGCGATGCCGCCCGGCGCCTTTTCGCGAGGGTCTCGCGCGAGGACGGACAGCGTCGTGCACTCGATTGGCAAATCTATCGAGTTAAGTGCCGAGCGCGCGTGTGTGCGAAACGTCGACAATCGGAGTGCGAAGGAGAACGCGCGTGACGGTTGACGCGAAGGAGTCTTCGCGATTCCAGTCGAGGGTACGCGCAGCTACGTTCAGTCTTCTCGCCGGCGCGCGACGACCGCGTTCGCGCACTTGTCCCTTTGGAGCGCGCCGACAGCAACGGGCCCCGCGCCTTTTCCCGCGAAAGCCTCGCGCGAGGACGGACAGCGGCGGCGTCGCGCGTTTCGCCGGTGATCCCGTCGAATAATCGGGCCGCGAGTGACCGCGCGAACGACGTCAAGTTGAACTCTGCCAACGGTCAGACGCGACGCGCTCGCGCGCGCGCGCACGACTACGTCGGATCCTGTCCGCGTCCGCCATTGCTCGCGATCGCGTCGCTACCGGTGCCTTTTCGAATCCCGACGCCGGCGAGTCGTGCGACTTTCGGGAAAGTTCTGTGCGATCTGCGATTACGCGAGTGCACGAGTGCCAACACCGTAACCGGAGGACGAGGGAGCCATCGGCACCGGCGACCCGGCATCGCGAGGCGGACGCGGAACATCGAACGGTGAGTGCTAGGCTAATTTTTTTAATTTCAGCCGGTATTCATAGTCAGATGTTATATTCAAGATCTTAAGATCATCTTTAGATACTTCGTAGCCAATGAAATGTTCCATACAGCAACTTTAGATAAATTCGAGACGGTCTTGAACAGAAGATCCGACCATGAATACCGGCCTTAATTGGCCCATCAGCCACGCGGAGAGAATTTTCTTGGAAAATTTCTCCTGAAATTTATCCTGAGATTTATCCTGAAATAATAAAGCGGGGCTGACCTGACGCACGTAAGATAGAAAGCGTCTCGGTGTGATCCCGTGGGAAAGTAACGAAATAATGTGAAATTAGTGTGGTTGCAAATTTAAAAAAGTGCAGAATTTAGATGTTAATTATATATTTAAACCGACAACTGACGCGTTTCTTAACCTGGCGGTGTTTCTCGCGGTCTTCTTTTTCAATCTCTTTATTAATAACGCACGCGTACCGTTTCGGCATAAATTAATTTGCTCAGCCAACGTTAGATTGTACCTGTGACTTAAATGTATATCTTTTTTTGTCGATTTAAAAACAAATTAACCGTTGCTTTATTAATGAACTCGGTGGATTTGTCTCGAGTAAAAATGACAACGTTTCTCTCGCCTTTATCGTCACACATTTATTTTGAATAACTAAATGAAAATTGCATTCCATTTCCTTTCTTTCGTCGAGCCAATTCCTCGCAACGGGATTGGAGTAACGGAAGGGAAAGCGGAGTGGAATAGAAGCGGCAATAAAAAGTTTAACATGATCGTCGAGTGCGCCGTATCGTTTTTACGGCATGTTTATTGTTAAAAAACATCTGCGCCTTCCTTTCCGCAGGGAAACGAACTTGGCGTACTCGAAGGGTAACCGACACTAGAAAAAAAAACTAGCAAGTATGAAATAGCGACTTGTGCAAATCGCGGATCTTTGGTCTCGCACGCGTCTTCAATCTAGTTGTGTAGTTCCATACGTTACTCGTATTGTGCGTGCATTTAGAACGTAATTAAATCTAATTGATGATACTCGCAGGAAATTTTCTCTTAAAGTGCATCCTGAAAATCGCGTAATCGCGGGGCAACATCTCGCAGAATTTTACGACAGCTTTCTGAAATTTTACCGCGCATTTCACTAGTAAAACTTGTATGAGAATTGTTTGAAGTTGCACCGTACATTTTACTAGTAAAACTTAATCGAACATCTTGCCAGTAAGACTTGAAACAAACTACTTGGATCGAAACGTCGCACCATTTCATCGATTGCATTGCCAGTCAACAATAAGCTTCGTTTCAATGTTCATTCGTCGCTGGTGACTTTAAGTATGCTCCTCGATTTAAAAAAAAAACTCTCATTGAGTTCTCGAAAATACACTGAGAGAAAAAATAGTCATTTTTACAAAAAAAATAGTCATTTTTGGAGCCAACCATATTTTTTATAATTCCTCCAACGTAAATTATGGTTGACCTAACAATGTGATAGTTCTCATAACCACAATATTGGTTGTCATAAACCAAAATATGGTTGGCTCCAAAAATGACTATTTTTTTTTCTCTCAGTGTACCACACACGATTTCCAGGGCAAATTGTGAGAAAATTCACTGGTGACTCTGAGTATACTCGTCCATTTTAAGAAACTCTCATAAAGTTGTTGAAAATACCATACACGATTTTCAGGGTAAATTGTAAGAACAATTCTCTCTGTGTACATACCTTCCGCAATTCTTTGGCGTACACTCGAATCGGGACTAAAAATCTCGTACTAGTGTTAAAAGTTATAAACGGGAGATTCCTCCGGCGTTATCAATGTGCGAACTGACTGTTTTGCAACGGACGCTCTCGGTGTGCATACAAACGCGCGCGCACACACATACACGCGCACACACATACGTATCTCCCGATTTTTCACACGATTACGCGTGTCCGCTATTCGTATAAATTAGCCACGCACGCTAGGTATAAAATACATTTCGATCTCGCGTATCACTGAAGTTAAGTCGACAAATCTGTACAGATCTGCTCGATTCGATGGAATATTTATTTGGTGGGCAAGCATCGGTGGATGATTGGCAGTTCTATTACTTTGTCTACCCTTCCGAGCTCTCCCAAGTTTTCGGAGTGAAAATCGAACCACGCGCGACGAGAATTTTCTCTGAAAATTTACCCTGAAAATTATGTGATCGTGGGACAACATTGCGTTCTGAAGAACTTTATGAGCTTTTGAAATTTTACCATACATTTTACTAGTAACATTTTACTAGTAACAGCACATTTATTGGCGAGTTTACCGTACATTTTACTTTCAGAAAACTCTCGTAAAGTTGTTCAAAACGCAATGTTGTCCCGCGATCGCATAATTTTCAGGGGGTAAATTTCAAGAGAAAATTCTCCGTGCGGAGGGAAATATTTCACTCTCAAAAATTTTAGAAAGAACAACGACACAAGATAGCGCGTGATCGAGAGTAGAAATCAATAATCGCAATAATTAGCTAATTCTACCGCGGAGCGAGGCAGATTTATCTCGCTCGAATTTAATGAATCGCCTTTAAATCTCGTTCGTTATATAGAATCGAACGTTCAATATGACAAGTGTCAATAAAGTGTTGAATGATAAATGCGCCCCTACAATTATGTCGTGGGGGCGAATAGAATTAAAAAATTTATATAATTTCCAACGTAGAGAATCGTATACTGAAATTAGTATACGTTCTCGACAATGCCTTTACGTAAAACTGCACTGGGGGGAGGATTCGTCGAGGCGGGACTCGCCGAACAAAGTATGTACAGATCTCTCGGGTGGGGTGACTGCACATTCCGGTGAATGATACCCCGAGAATGGTGTACGGCTTCAAACGTCTATAATACTGTTGCGCTTCTTCTCCACGTCCGCGGAATCGAGGTCGTTGCCGAGGCTACCCACGCGGCCTCGCAGCCCGACACCGCCGGTCTGACCGGTCGCCTTGAGCTTCTCCTGCATCTGCGCCAGGATATCTTGCATCCTTCGTATCTGCGAACGTGAATCGGCGGTAGCGAGCGGGACAAATCGTTCCGTGGGGATCGAATGGGATCGGGAAATTAGATCGAGCTTTTCGGGGACGTACGTTCCGTCCGTTTCCTAGTCTCATTCTAACATTGACGAGAATATTGATAAACGAGGGAGCAAAACCACACCCAGAAAAAGAGTTTAAATTAGATTTTTATTTAATAGGAATTTCATCTTAAACAAGCTTTCTTTCAATTTTTATTAGACTTTTATTTAATTTCGAAGAAACGATGTCTTTACCTTGACCAAAATTTTATTTGATTGAGACTGGAATCTTCGAGAGGATTCAGATCTACTTCTCCAAATCTAGCATGCGTTTTAGTAGAAGTAAAACTTCAGTAGACTCAAAGAAACACGATTTCAACGTGTCTCATTTGTTTCAACTAAATAAATCCTTTTCTCTGGGCGCGTATGAATAAATATTAATAATAATGAAAAAATATTGAAAATAATGAAATCGCGCGGCAAAACTTGGCTCGAAAAATTCATCTTCTCTGAAACGTTAACGACAAGTCGCGTGCTCACCTCCTCGTCCTTCTGCAAAAGAAGCCTGTCCGTGTCGGATATGCTGTTCTCGAAGTGCGGTCCGGAATCTCTTTTCAGTTTGCTGTAAAGGAGAGAGAGGTGTATTCTTAGTCTCGATTTTCCTAAAAGCCCTCCCCCCCCTACAAGTAATCTATGAAGTGCAATCGAAGCATAAATTATATGTCAGAGCGATACCGTGCAACTCTTTGCAAAAATCGTCAATCTCAATTTCGAGGGGAAAACCGCTGACCAAAATCTTGTACATACACCAAGGCTCACTAATGCCCAGTGGACATTTATCTCGTTTTATTTCATCTTATTTTATCTCTGTAATGCCCCAGCAAGGCTTGATGCCCAAAAAATGTCTAGTAATGCCCAGTAATGCCGCAAAACTGTACACCACAATGTCCTCAGCGGTTTACCCCTCAGAACCATCGCAAACTAGTTGACTACTATCGCTGGCAGATACTTTTAATAGTCATGCAAAGCGCACAGGACATTCGAACGGCTCGTCAAAGAGCCGGCAATTAATAATAGTCAGTCGCGATCGCTCGTCGTCTCGAGGCGCAGACTCGAGCGAAGAGAATTATTCTAGGGCACATTTTTCGAGATATCCTGTACGCATTGCGAAAACGCATCGCGCGGTAAGCGTCCGTATTTTATATACCTACTGAAATGCAATATTTATTTACATGCGTAAATACCTCCGTTCCCGGATCGCTTGCTGCGAAATTTGGGAAATGCATTGGGCCCGGAAATTCTCGTAGTGAACGTCCTGCGTGACGTCCTTGAGATCCTGCATGTGCGTCGATATTAGCATCGTCCTTAGTTTGACGAAGTCGCTGTGCTTCGGGTTCTCGACTACGATCAACCAGAATGGAAATGTTAAAGATCGGCCGGCGACACGCGAAATGCCAGAGGCACTTTGCACGCGTTCAGTCCCTGCCGCGCTTTCAAATGTACGCTAATTATATCCGGCAGAGGATTTCAAAAGCTTCGGGCGCTCTTTCATCGATGAAATTCCTAATTGCTTTTGATTCGGCTTTTCGCTTGACAATCTAATTGAAAGCCCGGGCAGATTCTCGCGAAAGAGGTGCACCAAGTCCCAGTTGTGCGACTCGACGATTCTTTCGACGTCACTGCAGCGAAAATGCACTCGGAATTCTTTCAAATGTCGTTCGATAGCGAAGATTGATCTAATTAATGTGATAATTAACGTCGCATTCTTCGACCGAGGAAACTTGGCCGGGTGAATGATTAATTTTTCCAAAGTCCTCGCGCGAAGAGCTTCATCTTTTTCTCCCTCTCTCAACGTTGCACTTACCTCGCGCGTGACTCACGGATAAAAAATGGGTACGATCGAAAAATATAAAATTTGATGTAGAATGTAAAAGTTCACCTTCCACTACGCCCCACGGATATTGTCGGCCGCGAACCTTCCTCCCGGCCACCTCCAGCACCGTCGAACTTCCGACGACCGCGAACGGTATGCAGGCCTTGAGCTCCTTGTCCTGCTGCTTGAACTCCTCGTCCTCGTCGCTGTCGCAATCCGGGAATTGGTATATCTGTGCGACAATGCAAAGAGGCAATTAACATTTCCCGTGCGTCGTAGACGCGAGTCCAGTGCCGGATCTACGAATAAGCCGCGCGGAGAGAATTTTCTCTTAAAACTTATCATGTGCCGTTGGCTAAAATCGAGGGGGAAACCGCTGACCAAAATCTTTATCTTATTACTTGATTTTATCTTAAGTATTGTATCTTATTTTATCTTTATGATGCCCCAGCAAGGCCTAATGCCCAAACTAATGCCCCAAAAATGCTTAGTAATGCCTATAGTAATGGCCAGTAATACCGCAAATCTGTACGCCGCAATGCCCTCGGCGGTTTTACCCCTCGGCTCAAATCGTAGATCCGATCCTGGGACTAGCCAGTCGTGGTATCGAGACCATTATAGAAATGGCGTTATTGTGCGTAAGAAGGAAAAGGGTTGGAAGTCGCGGCTTCTCGCGCGATACCTGAATCTCGTGCTCCTCGATGTCCGCCAAAATGCGCTCCTTCAGCTTCTTCACCTCGTGAGTGGTTAGAGTGTCCGCTTTCGCGATTACGGGAACGACGTTAACTTTCCGATGTAAGCGCCTTAACACCTCGAGATCGATCTGCCTGAGGCTACAAATGAAGAACCGGGGTATTCAAGTTGAGACTGTAAATTACAGTCTTAATTGAGAGTCCAGGGCCATAATCGCGTTCGATATTACCGCGGGATGGAAATTACGCTTAGCCCTTTTTAAATTAGAGTACATGGAGCTGGATTATATCACATACCCGTGGCCGTACGGCGGTATAAAGTACAGGCAACAGTGCACCCTGTTATCTTGAATATTTTTCCTATTTAATCCGCTTTCGTCCGTGAAATACTGGCGGAACTGCTCGTCGATGTAAGCCGAGCACGCTTTCCACGTGTCCTCGCAATTTACCGAGTCGCCGAACCCTTGAACGGTACATCGTTATTTATACAACTGTTTTAAAAAAAATCGTATCGTTATTTATGCGAAATCAAATTTCACGGCAAATCGACATCGTCATTTATCCAGCAGTTTCGCAAAAATATTCCTCGCAATTAATTCAACGTATCTCCTGCACGGAAAAAAAAACGTAGCTGCCGTAGCTAAAAGCTGCACGTGGTAACTGAATTTCAGTTGTAAAATATGGACAGCTAGTATTTAGCTGTGATAGCCAATATTTTGCTACTACGCCTGGTTGTATTAAGTGCGACAGCAAACCGTTTGCTGTGGTTTAGAAGTTTATAGTTAATGCAGCGAAATATTTTTAGCAAATCGCCATTGGCTACGGTAGCGAAAATTTTTTTTTCAGCGTGGCAGATACGAGCTTGTTCAATCCTTTCGTGATCACTGAGTCGTACAAGTCACTTGCATTTTTTGCCTCTCTGGGGCAATGGTGCATCTCATTGAAAAACAAATAGTAGAAAAACCAAGAAGATAACTGGGTCACGAAAGGGTTAACATAGGAAATATGTAGCTCGGCGTTACGTCCTCACCTGGCGTGTCTACGATCGTTAGGCGGAGCCGGACGCCGCGCTCCTCTATATCCATTGTCTTCTTCTCGATAGAGGTGGTCTTAGCCACCCGCTCTGAAAGTGAACGATGAATATTTATCGACTCCTTCCGTCGAGAGGCACGGGCGGTTTACCCGCGGCGTAAGCTGATGAAATATTTTTCGCGCGTCAATAACTCGGCGGCAGATTTTTAGAGCAGAGACTGTTCGGTAACGTTTATACACGTCCCTGCGCGTCCGTCGCGATTAAGACCCAGTTTCACCAATGTTGTTTAACTTTAAGCTTAGTTTATTCGCTCTTTGCCTCTTTTCAACTGTTACTTTAGAAAGAAACAAACGTGTATGAAATTGAGATTAAAGTTAAGCGAGTTAAGTTAGGCCTAAGGCCCGGTTTCGCCAACATCCTTTAACTTTAAGCTTATTGTTAGCTTAATTCGCTCTTTGTCTCTTTCCAACTGTTACTCTAGAAAGAGGCAAAGAACGAGTTAAGCTAGGCTTAAACAACGTTGGCGAACCCAAAACCTGAACCTAAACGGTGCCGTTGCTATTTCGCGATTACACAGCAAGTGACCGACAGGTTTAACGCGAGCAAATTTAGTTGTCGAGGAGGCCGTGTTTTTTTTGCGCGCGCGCGCAGATCAAATTAACACACGTTCAAAGAGTATTTTGCCAAAAAGTGATCCGCGTGGATGCTACACAGATCGTTTTACCGGCTGAGAAAGATTTTAAGAGATATTTAAGATCCTTAAGGGGATGCTGGAGTGATTCTGCACTTTTGCACCTTTCGCACTTAAAACTGCCTGTTTCGTGGAAACACTTGTGTAATATACAAATTAAATGACTTACGACACACACATACATGTGGTATGTGTGTTGTTCACTATTAATTTTTATTAGACTTACAAGTCTAGTTTCAGTGATGCCATATTGTTCTCTAATTTAGCCGGAATAGCAAGCTGCTTTCGATCTGTACACGTGAGCCATTTAATTTGTATATTACACAAATGTTTCCACGAAACAGGCAGTTTTAAGTGCGAAAGGTGCAAAAGTGCAGAATCACTCCAGCATCCCCTGAAGTATGAGAACTGACTTTAAACAAGCCTGAGTGGTGCACTCTCAGTGCGCACCAGCAATCGAATTCGCTATGAGATAGAAGTCACACGCACCCGCCGCATCCGGAATTCGCCGGTCTTTGTACAGGTCCCCGAGGAAGAGGCTGTTTATGAGCGTCGACTTGCCGAGACCGGTCTCACCCAATACCATCAGGGTGAACTCGAAGCCCCTCTTCACCGATTTCCGGTGCACTTGCTCCGGCAGCGTCGCGAAGCCGATATAATCCCTGTCTTACTGAGCGAAACAAACGGTCGTTAATTTCGTGATACGTCGATAGACGTGAGTCCCCTGTTGTGCGATGGGCTCCTAATACAAGATAGCGGATTTTCAACGTCCAATTTCGCAAATATTTTTCGCAACGGCGAACTCACCACCGAGCAGATTTTCACCCCGGGGGCAAAAATCATGGTGGAGCCTGTTAATTGAGCGGAAACTCTGCTATCTCATAACAGGGAACTCACTTCCACGCATTTTAATTCAATTTAATTTGTCGCGTTAAAAAGACTAGAGAACTGAAATTACAGAGCGAAGGCGCAGTAGTGCATGCGAAAGGGAGAAACGTGGCTGCGGCAAATCTCTCGCTTTTTTTTATACAGAGAGCGAACGCTCGATAATTAACAAAGCGCGTCGCGCACTGAACGTAACACAAAGGTTGGTGCGCGGGCAATTACGTGCGCGTCGCGATTGCGTTTCGATTTCGGCAGGGTATGACTCACTGGCCCGATCGCAGGCGCGCGACGTACGTGTATACGCGGCGTCGATGAACAGCGTCGCGTCTCTGCATAATTAACGTCGCGGCGAGAGAGCCGGTTCTCCGCGACTCGGGGTGGGAAAAAAACAAAAGAGAGAAGACGAATCTCGCGGTGGACCGTCGGGCATGCGATAAGTTTGATTTGAAATGAGACGTTTTACGTACCACCGGACATTATGGCAGGGTCTAAGGGCGCTTCCGTGTGACGACGGGCATTACGGCAGCCGAATGTCGAGCAAACGCACTAAGGCCGAGGGCGGCTCGCGCTCGTGAATGCCTCTCCTCGTCCGGCGCGGCGGCTCGACTTGCGCTGGCGCACTGTCGGCCGGCCGATCAATAGTCGCTCGTGGGTCCGACGATGATGCATTCCGGGCTGCACGCGGCGAAGAGGTTAAGCCGAGAGCCGGGCGTGCGTGCGGAATAAATAGCAGCGTTATCAGCGCCCGCCGTCTACGCTAACGGTCGTGCGGGCGGAAGAACGGAAATGATTGTCCGGCACTTCGGTCAAGCTCGACCCGTGACGCGGAGGCGGTTTACGCGCCGATCGCGTTGCGCCGCGTCGCACGCCCGGCGAAGTGATACGGCGCTCGGAAAGGGAAAAGAATAAAACTGCGCGCTCCCTTATCGAATCAGATCGAGTTTCTCGAAGAGATATTAACGAGATCGGTGGCGCCGTGCGCCGTCCGCCGCGGGCGCTTCCACGCGGCGCTTCATTAACGACGCTTTTAACGAACGCGAATGATTTATTTGCCGTCCACGTGCGCGCGGAGAATAAATTAAATAATCCGACGCGCGCTTAACGTTTAGCGTAATTCCCGGGGTCTCTCCGCGCGAAACATGATGAATTTTCGGATTTACCGGATCTGCCGACAATCGCCCGTAATTATTCGTAATGACCTGTAAAAGCGCCCGATGACATGAGATTTATTACATTTCCGCGCTCTGTTTGACTACAATTTCGATTAATTAATTGTTATTAATTAGTCGCCGTACTTTTCCAGCGAAAACAAATTATTGGAGCATTTAAGCCCCGGAGGGTATCCGATAGAATATAGCCGAAACGCAGATAATTTGATGAAAAAAATTACTTTATTGTGAAACAGCGTGGAGTAACAATCCGCCTCGTGTAAAAGAGTGTAACGCCCGATTGCTCGGTTAAGAGATTCTCCGCTCCCATCGCCCGGCCCTACTTTTTTATAATCGCCATCACGTCGTTGACGTCGTCTTTGGAGCCCAGGAAAATGGGCGATCTCTGATGAATGTTCTCCGGGACGATGTCCAGAATATCAATTTTTCCGTTGGTCGCCAGACCGCCGGCTTCCTTCACTATGAAGGCCATCGGTACGCACTCGTACAGGAGTCGCAGCTGAAAGTCACAAAATCGCCACGTTCATTGATTTGCGAAATTTTTCACGCCCCGATGCACGCGAGATGCAGCACCGGGTATGTGCGTTTAAAATGTGCACTGTATAACGTGCGCGCGGCGCGAATACATTGAAGTCTAATAATAAGTTAATTATCGGTAAATAAGTTCTCTTGAAATTCTGACCCCGGTATCGGTCTTGCGACAGAGAGCTGCAGTCGTGTGTTTACCAGGGCGGATAATACGCAAAGCCCGATAATGTTTCAGAGAAATTTGCATACAGAAATCGGGGATGCCGCCGCGCACCAGTCCAAGTTCGTGCCGGATATTTATACCGCGCTTAGATAAAATAATTTATCCAAAGTCCGATACTCTCCTGCATGGTTTATCGGGTAGATGGTAGCGTAAACATCTGTCTACAAGGCGGAGTTGCTGCAGCGGGTCGTTTCATTACTCAATCCGTCTGATAAGCGCATCCGATAAGCGTGGGATCAGAATGTTTGGAAGAGAAAGATAGAGAATGTGTGTGTGTGTGTGTCGAGGAGAGAGAACGCGAAGATAAATGGGACGTGAAACACACGAAATATGTCGTAACACAGCTATCGCCCTGTATCTGTCTCGGGTCCGTCTCTTTCTTTTTCCGCGCGGGATAGTTAGCTCGATATAAAGTTGAGAAGTCGTCGCGAAATTACCTTGCCGTTGGGATTGCTCTTGCTCGCGGGGTACAAGAAGATACCGCCGTACTTAATCGTTCGGTGTACGTCTGCGACCATGGAGCCCACGTATCTGGCGCTGTAGGGCTTTCCGCTCGCGGGATACTTTTTGGAATGTATGTACTCCTTGATAGACGGGTCCCACGTGCTCTCGTTGCCTTCGTTAATACTGCAAATAATTGTACGCGATTTCAGTGCGGTCGATAACGATCGAGTCTCTCTCTCTCTCTCTCTCTTTCGTACTTTCACCTATAAAAAGTTAACTCGAGTGTCTAATCGATTCTCCTGTCGAATTCGCAATTACGCCGACTATATCTGGTCCCGTAATCTCTCAAAAGCGTTCGGCGCCTCTTGGACGCATCAGGGATGCCCGTGCGGAAAGATCGTCGTAGCCGTTTACGACTCCGTTACGAGCTTATCTCGTAATAGGGGACTTGGACTCACTACGGAATCGTAAATACTCACGGCAATCTTTTCGCTCGGACCCTTTCAGGGGCACATTTTTGTAGCCGACCAATAATCGTACGTTTTTTGACATGAATTATTTATCAACAACTGTACGAAAATAATTAATATTAACAGGACTTAGAACTTGATAGTTTAGGCATCCTGTAGAATCTTGTTTGAGCATTATTGACGCAGAAATAGACTTGTAATAATGAAAAATCCGATTATCGTGAGGTGGGACGTGCACGTCCCGCTGCCCCGCAAAGGGTTAAGATCGAATCAGACCAGCGATTGGGTGACTCGGATTGGATTGGCGATTGTCCTCTGGGCTAATTGCCAACTGATTCGGCCTTTGCTCGCGACGCGAATGTTAACCGTATAGGCTCGTCTCCATTCCGCGGTTTCTTTTTCTCTCCTCGTCTACCCCTTTGCTCTTCGCCGTACCTATATATATTGCCTCTGTCGGGCATACGCATGCTCTTCTCGGTCAGGATAAATTCCCCGATGGCCGGATCATACGTGAACCCATTAACGCCGTGGCCGATTGAGAGCACGATCATAGTCGCCGAGCCGTACAGAGCGTATCCGGCCGCGACCAAGCTCCGTCCCGTTTGCAGCGCGGCCTGCAGCGTGGATTCCCCGGGTCGTTCGGGTTTTTTGTAAATTCCGAAGATAGAGCCCACCGAGACGAGGCAGTCGATGTTGGAGGAGCCGTCGAGCGGGTCGAAACACACGACGTATTTGCCGCTCTTCTCCGTTTCCACCTCGATGGCGTGTTGGTTCTCCTCGCTCACGAGCACGCACGTGGTGAAGGAGGACGTCAGCATGTTGATGAAGAGCTCGTTGCTCAGAACGTCCAGCTTCTTCACCTCCTCACCCTGAACGTTGGTGTTGCCGGCGATGCCGTACCTGGGCGGACAAGGATGCGTCGTGTGCGTTTAACAGCTGATTAGAATACGCAAATGTGCATTGAGTAGCGAACTTAATTAGTTGTTGACTGGTGACGGGCATGGAATGTCTCGCGATAGAAATATGTGAGAAAAGCGCAACTATTATTTGAGTGGAGAAGCTGTTAAAAATTTTAATTGCTCCGAGAGTCACTATTTTTTTTCTATTTAAATGATTAACACACTCACACCTTAGTGTACTCTTCACTCTATAATTAGATGTAGACGGAAATTTTTAACAACATTTAGATATCGATCCGCGCCTAAGGAGAGACTCTCTAGAGATTGAAGACTTTCGGGAGAGAAGACTCTCTAGTTTCGAATGATGCTTGAAACAGTTCGAGTTAAATTGTTTAGAAAATTAAAAGGAGAATTCGGAAAAGAAGCGCCATCATTTAAAACACTGGGACAAACGTTGTCTCGTAATATTTTTCCGTACTGAACCCATTGAAGTTTTATTTAGAAAATAAATTGTAGAATCGGAAATGTGGGACAGGCGATTTATTCCGTAGATACGAAAGCGCGAGGATAAGAATTATTCGTCGCGTCATCTCCGAGATTTACTCATTACGGCTGTTTAATCTTAATTGGGGCCATAATCCGCGTCAGATTATTGATAAGAGAAGTTTGTCTCGGGACCCCCGATGGCGGGCGACCAGTCATGAAATTGTTTTATTCATGTCCGCGCGGTGCGCCGGCACTGTAATAATGGGAAATCGTTTATATGTTATTTACATGCGAGGTTACAGAATTGTCAGGGCGTAGAGATTAATGTTTACTGGCGTGTATTGGCAGCTTGTGCACGACGGTAAATGCACGAGACTATACCGCTGCCGAATACATTTGAATAAAATAGGGACGCGCGCCGGGGCTCGTGAGAGAGCAAACGTTAGCCACGTAGTTACGACACCGCGGAGACTTCACACCCGTGCCGTATAACGTATTGGCACGAGCTTCCCCTCCGCCGCGCGCGCCGCTAAACTCTGACCGTTGTGAGCCGCGCGAAAATGTAAAATCGCACGAGCTGCAGTCCGTATACCGGTTATAATATATGAAAATCTCCCGTTTACCGCCGCCGGGTGATACCTCGCGAACTTAAACCGTCGGGAGACACTTGGCGAAACGTATAGTCGTAAAGCAGAGTAGTGTAGTTTCGAACTCGTGAAGATTACAAATTATAATTAGATTAATTTGAATATCTCGTAAAGCGTCTCTCCCCTCTCTCTCTCTCCCTCCCTCCCTCCGTCTGTCTCTCTTTCTCTCTGTCTCTCTCTCTCCGGCTTCGCTGTTTAAATATGCCATTAGAACGTTATCTGGTTTACGAGACGACGGAAATGTTTTCCGCTTCTCTCGCGCAGAGCTTCCTCTTTCGCTGATTCGGAGTCGCGCACTGCCACGTGCGCGTTAACGTTGGCAGCAGAGCTGGGCTCTCGTTCCGAGCTCGCGTTATTTACTCACATATTAGCGATACCGGCCTTCCTCACGGCCGAGCTGACGGCCTTCACGGCGGTCTGTATGCTATTCAACAGCTGCGTGAGGTCGCCGGTCGCCGTTGGCACCTTGCGCTGCTCCGCCAGCACGAATCTCGTCAGCGTCATGCAGTCCGAGTCCATGATCGTGTTTTTCGATGCCATGTCTTCTCCTCGCGGCGGGCAGAACGCGCGTGCAACAGGCGTGAGAGAGCGAGGCTGTCCCGGCGGAGACTGAAACCGGCGGTTTCGCGGCGACGCGTTATATAAGAAACGCCCCGGGCAGCGGCGACGCGTTATCGCGACAGTGAAAGCGACGTCTCGTATTCGGGCTCGCTCTAGCGAGCATCCACGAGTTGGCACTATTTTACAGTACGCGCGACCGCCTCGGTAGAGTCGCGCCCGTCGAGGCGCGTTTGGGCGACGCGATATCACTGGGAGACGCGAGATATCTCGCTTATTTAGTATTTGTTACTCCGAATGAATATTTACAGCGAGAGAGTGTGCGATCGATACGCGGATTTACGTATGCGTCGCTCGTATTATGTAAAACGAGGCGTGTTAATCAGCGTTAGGGTTTATTTTTCGGTGGTTCCAAGTCAATTTTCACGGGAATATACTCCACCATTGATTTACTCGTCCGCGATTTTCTCGCTTCCCCAATTTGTTATTTTATTAATTCATTGACGCGCACGTATGGTGAATTTTACATATACACAGGGTGTTCCAGGTAGAAAGGTCTATATTCTGGGAGGCGATAGAATCGATCATTTTAAGCGAAAATGTTCATATGAATGTACGTCCCATTCCCCACTGTTTCCGAGATAGAGCACATTTCGTTGACGTTCTCGTTCGGATCAAACATGAACGCGCAATGTATTGAAAACCTTAGAAAACACTTTACGACTCGGAATTCTGCGTGTATATTCGACATTTGCGAATACGCGAGGCATTTTGGACATTTCTACAATGTTATCAGCGCAACAGTCAACAGACGTGTAAAAGTAAATTCCCGCGGACGTTTATGAGGTTGGATGAAGGGTGAAGTGTACAGAAGACAAGTGAATGCACGAGGCATTTAAGTAGCTCTATCTCGGACACAGTGGGGAATGGGACGTTTATTCGTATGAGCGTTTTTCCTTAAAATGGCCGATACTATCGCCTCCCAGAGTATTGACCTTTCTTCCTGGAACACCCTGTATACATATGAAATTTGTAGAATTTAACGTTGCCGCGCAGCAGTTAGTCACACGCGGATTTATAGAAGAGTAAATCCCTCGAAAAACCGATAATCGCATAAAATAAGCGAACAATGGCATAGTTAGCACGCAAATTTTATTCGGCGGTTGTTTCGTTGCTGGTTTCCTCGCGTTTTGTCTTACCCGGCCTGCGCATTATTTTCATCTCTGCAACATATGTAAATGCATTCGGTTCCGTTACATATACGCGAACGAGATAGGCGTGAAAAAAAAATATATACCGCACATTGACACGTGGGCGCGGCAGTGCCTCTATTATCCGAGCCGCATTATCGAGGTCGTGTAAGCCGGAACTGGGTCGCATTAAGATCCGTTTCGCCGATTATGCATTATCCTTTCGCGCGGAAATGCGAAGTGTCGCGCGTCATTCGACTCGTAACGTAAGAATGATTTTATTGCTTCCTATCGCGGCGGCGTAAATCGATTTTCGTAAACCCGCGCGCCCGCGCGGCGTCTTGGAATTCCGACCTATTTCAAACGTCGAGAGCACTATTATGCGGCTAATTCGAGTTGAAATTAATTCCTGAATGCGTACCCGCGATAGATAAGGCCCCCGGTAATGTCGTAGCTTTGCTGTAAATGCTATTATTACGCTGTGCGGTATAATTAAACTAAATGGCATATAACGAAATTAGCGTCGCAACGACGTTAGATCGATCGCATCGGGCTCGCCTAAATAACGGCAATTTATCGGTCTACGTGTACGCGGTGACCACCCTAGGTCGCACAAATTATGCATTTCTTTTTTCCCCGATAGTTTTATCTAGAGCCTTTTATCAGTGAATATGAACGATAAATATTTGATGAAACAGCCATGAATTCTGATAAGTATTTTTCACTTTATTGTCATCAGCATTACAAATGGGTATAAAATAGCATAGCTGCGTTCCTTCCCAAGGCTGCCATAAATAAAAAGTTATAAATACAAAAAGGTACATCGCCAAAGACAATTCCGACAATATGTACAATTTACAGTTTTGTATCTCTTGCATTTTTATGCCATTTAGACGTGAGCGCACACGTACATAAGCGCGCGCGTCTTCACCGGCTAAAAAGTTTGCAGCTAAAAAATTGGTGCAAAATGTCGCGCTTTCCTCGGGCGTAGATTAAAATTGTAAGAATTGTGGTCGGTCGACGGCGTCTTCTCCACCTCCGTCGGGCTTCTTTGGCTTGTCGGACGCTCGTATAGCCGCGCTGACACTCGTAATTATTAAAGGAAAAAGATCGCGCCAGGACGAGTTTTCTCCGTGAAACACGTGGATCGATCGCGGGAGGATTTTGCGACGGTCTACAGATCGACGAGCTTGAATCGCATCGGTGACACCAGCGTGTTTATAAATCGACTTTCGTACTCGAGCGGTCCGTGATGCCATTCGATCCGGAAATTTCGTATGACCTGAATAAAAGAAAAACGCACCTCTGGTTTACACGCTCCCTTCACAGTTTGCGCGGCGCGCGATCGGTAGAATAATATGCAAGAGTCGTGTTCTCGCGGCTTTTCCGCCCGGGAACCATTTCGAGAATCAGCGAATTCAATTGAGAAGCGTGACGCCGAGACTCGTAATTCTCGCCGGAGAGGATTACGTCCCAATTTCTGCGTAAAGATTGTCTCGCGAAAAGTCAAACCGTCTAACTCCGCGCGAAACAAATC